AGAACCTAAGACCTCTCACTTCCAAGTGAAGAGAAATACCACTAGACCGTAGTATTGAGTGACTAAATGTTAAAAAAAGAAGAAAGATAATGTTCACAAGAGAGTATAATACATGCTTGGAGTTGTGAGCTAATTAAAATTTTCCTTCCAATATCTATTCAATATAGAGAGTAGTTAATCAAAATTAAAGAGGATTAAAAGAAATTAACCTTCCAATATCAAGTCAATGAAAAATGCTAGGGAGATCATGTTTTTAGACCATATTGTTAGTAAAAAGTTAAAGAGAACAAAGAGATTTACAATTCGACAAAAAAAAAGAAAAAAGATTTACAAACCTTAATATTGTTTTTGGAGGACAAAATATATGAAATTCAACAAGAAAAGGAGGAAAAGCTCAAAGTTTATTATTCTTTCGGTTGGCGATGTAAAAGAAATTTTTTGATTAAACTCAAGTAGACTTCAAATTTTAAATTTAAGAGTTATTGACTTGTTTACAAGATAAGAGTTAAATTTAGTTTTAGGATTAGTGTCGTTGGGTTAAAAGAAAAAAAGACCTCTTGTTTTAACTATTGGTGAATAGAATTTAAGAGTTTTGTGCATACAATACAATGCCTCCGCCCCTGTTTGTCGATCTTCTCTTGATCAATATCATACACTAGTAGTAAAGGATTAGGTCGTTGTCAAATGAGCTCGTATTTAGTTTGCAAAAAAATTCGATATAGAGTACATATATAGAAGCATAATACAGAAATCCCGAATTAATTTACAAACCAGCACAAAGGAGTGCATAAAAGTAAACAAATTACGAGCAAACAGCTATTTGATATAAACTTAAACATGCACAAGACAGTATTATTGATTCGGAACATAACCTTAACGTCTGGCTTCTTAAACACAAGAAACGTCAAAACCTAAAGAGTGCAGGTAAGTCATTCCTCTTTCGAAGGGCCCAACCCCAAGTACAAACACAAGAAGCCACCTCACGAACAAAAAACAAACCCAATATAATTTATTTGACAAAAGAGAGAGACCCAACCAGCAGCAGCAGCAGGTAACAATTGGAAAAGAGAAATTATGCAGCAATTGTTAAAGGAAGTTTTAACGAAACATTTTTAGTATTGTTCACTTTTAATAAAAATGACATTTTTACTTTAAAAATTTACTTCTGATACTATTCACTTACAATGTCTTTTTGTCCGCTTCAAAGATCCCTCCGTTTGATTTTGCCAAATATATAGTAAGCAAACTACTTACCCAATTATTGTTGCGGAAGCAAACCTTTACTCTTTTACGTACCCACTATTAAGTAATGTCACTATCTGATATGTTAAATGCAATAGACAGACGACATCATTTGATGTATTGCGGTGTAGAAATGGGAGAAAGATATAAGTTTTGAACAAGCCCCTCTTATATAACTTCGTGCCCATTCCAGTTAAAGTATTCTACGAGCAGCTCAACCAAAGTAGATCAACTTAAGCATTTTCCGCTTGAGTATCTAATTTGTTGAATCAATGGATGCCATAACGGCGATCAAAGACTGAAAATAGTTGTAAAAAAAAACCCGTTGGCACTTGATCAAATAGCTCTGGAAGGTGTACTCTTCCTCAATCCAAGCTTGTCCCTAAAGGAGAGAACTCTAATTCCTTGGTCCCATCAGAATATCCCTGTTGGTATAGTGTTATGCATATATATAGCAGCTAAAAATATTGTATCAGAAAATATCAATTAATTCAAGATTTGATTTTCCTCTTCAATATCTCTCTCTTGTTTCTTTCTCTATCATCTTCTTTTATATCAATCCTTCATATTTTCCAATGTTGTTAATACCCACATTCTACAGTTACCTCTTGATTTCCCCTTCCAATGGATTTATTTTGACTAACTAATCATGCGCACAATCAGTTTTCAACTAAAGAACATATCAACACGATAAAGAAAGTAACAATAATAAAATAAACAACATTTCAATGGATTTATTTTGATAGTTATGTAATTGTAATATCGACACCATTAATGAAATAAACAACGTTTCAATATTTAATATACAGTTGTTGATATTAAGTGATGAAATATGCCACGCGATCAAAGAGCTCATCCAAAGATTCTCCCATTATTGTGACGTCCATATTTGTTTATGGATTTTGTGCATAAAACTAGTAAAGAATGTAACAATATTTATGCGCATAAATTGAAGATGGCTTTATTGCAGCTACTAGCTAGTAGTCTGTTCCTACGTAGTTACTTTGGACGAGGGAAGTCATGAAATGAGAATTGTAATCTTATTCAAAAACTCATTTTTATTTCTTATTTACCTTTTTTATTTTCGTTCATCAGATAGAATAAATTGAAGAAAATCAATAGTAAAAAGTTAACAAATGTATGTCGAAAGTAAAAATAAATATGTGAATAACAATATCCAACGAGAAAGTTAAGAATGTGGGAGAAAGTAAATAAATGTGAGATCAACTACCTCATAATCTATTTATTCTTGCTACTTCAAACATTGGATTACGAATTCTAATGTGAAGTCTAACTATATACGTCTTGGTGTCGTAATTGTCCGTAAACACAATAGAAGTCTCGAGTATATCCGCCTCTAGGAAACACTAAAAAAAATCAAAATAATTCAAATGCTTTCGTGTAAGCAAACATGCCAATAAATGTTGGCTAATTATCCATGAAAGTAGTTGACTAGAAGACTTGATATTTTACAAATGAAGCCCTCCCTATTGCCTTTTCCCTTTACAGTGTGGGTGGGTGTGGCCAGGAGACTACAATCGTGGTGCTAGACAGGCGCCACAAGTTATCGGCATTTCGTCTCATTTATTTTTTACTTTTAAAAATAAAATAAAATAAAATATTTTCGGATAAAAGATTGAGACAAAAGATGAAGAAAAAATGAGGGGTAGAATATTTTAATTAATGACGTATAAATCATTTTTTTTACCAATAATAGTATAGTTACTAAATTAATTTAAAATATATATAAAAAAATACAAACTTGAATGCAAAAAGTAAAACATATTGTTATCGCTAATTTAGCTACACCGCAATTTACACGTATAAATTCAAGTTGAAGATGCTTGTCCTTTACCCCTCTTTACCACGAAGAAATAAAGTTGAGCCTCGTCATATAACTGCTGGGGATGTTCATGTAATTGGATCATGTTAATTGCCCTTGGTATGAAACTGAATTGCTGAGTGTTGATCTGGCTGCTGTTTGACTATTAGGTATCCAGCTAGGTTATAATTTCGACCTTTTCTTTGTCCAACTTATCTCATGTCAAGAAAGCTACAAAATTGATATCTAAAAATAATATAGATTTTATTTTCCACATAAATAATGCTTGATGAAGGCTGGAAAACCCATCATGGTTTGAATTTAACAAAAAAAAAAAAAAAAACCTATCCTATGATTTAATTAGATACAAATTGGTATTGTGCACTTTCAACGCAACAACGCCGAAGTATCAATGTTACAAATTTATTACCTCATGAATCTACTCAGTTATATTAGGGGTAATACTAGAGAGATTAAAATTTTAATTTTAATTTTGTAAATTAAATGATGTGGTTGTTAATGATTAAATTTTTATTTAAGTGTTGATGTACTTACTTCTTGTTGGTTACACATAATTTAATTTTCAAATTTAGTTTAAAAGTTTAATTTCCATAGCATTACCCATTATATTAATATACAATCTTGAGTTAATTACAAACTTCTCCCTAATTCTAGTGGTTGTTCCACTTTTGTTCTCAAACACTTTTTTGTCCTAGGTAAGTTAAAGATGTGTTAAATAAATGCAGATGACGTTTTACCGTAGTGACGTAAAACTATAATATTTATGCATCATGGTGCAAGTTTAATCTCCACTTATTCTCATTTACCATAACATTGAACAATTTAATCCACTAACGTTATTATTTGTTAAAAAAAATTAAAAAAAAACTTTGTTAAATAAGAACAACAATGACTTCATTTACAAAATTAACAGACCACAATATCAACTATGTTAGCTCGAAAACTTTTTGCATCGATACCAAGTCAAGTTGATATAAGATTTTTTGTTAGCAAATGTAACACTGAACGACTACTTGTAATAAAAGACAGTAACTAAAACGTATTATTCGGTTATTCTACTAAAATATTTTTTAGGGTAAAAAATTTCTTCATTCAGTTTTAATGGCGATTTTGAAAATCCAAATTAAATTGACAATTTGGGCTGGTACTTTCATTCATTTTTTTTATCACAAATGCTGCATACTCCTAATTTGTTAATAAGCACACTTTCAAAAATAAAGGACAACTTGGAGACAAAAATAAATAAAGTTGAAGGATGAAAGTAAGAGCTCCAAGAGTTAGTGCAGTGCTAAATAATATACCACCAAAAGATATAAAATTGATGTTATGATTATAATTATGTAATAAAAAATTATTGTAAATTTTTTTATTTAAAATTGATGTTATGCTTAGAATTATGCGATTAGAAATTATTGTTTTTATTTTTTGGAAAACATAAGCGCCGTCAGCAGTGGCAAATGCTTACCGCGCTGCGATGACGCCTCTGTTTGGCCCGGCAGAGCTTAATCTGACATGACATTTGTACGGACTGTCTGCAACCCTGTGACTAAGCTGATAGACCAAACAGCTGATTAGTCTTTTGGACCACTCCCATCTCGACAACGCATTCCCCAAAACCATCATATTTATTTCTCTCTCCTCTCTCTATTTTCCCATATTTATGCTCGAACGGAGTAAGCAGCCAAGCTTCTGCTACTAGTAAACCGTGAAAACATGTTCAAATAATTAATTTTGTAATCATAAATTGAACACGTGTTTACTCATGATTTGCTAGCAGCAGAAGCAGCTGCTGATTTTTTCACAGCCAAGCTCTGTCCTATATACTCAGCGCCTTTCTTCATCAAAACAATTAAAACCAAGGCACTCCCAATACAAAAATAGAAATATACTACCAAAAAAAAAAAAAAACATCTGTCTTCCTCATCCTGCTTTTGCTTTTCATCATCATTCAGCTCCCTTTCCTTTCTTGTATCAACCAAATTAGGGTTTTCTCTCAAATTTGGTATATTTTCCATCTCTTGGGTTTCTAAGCACTAAAAAAGAAAGTGCTATTTCTTCCGCTTCTCCCCTTTCTAGTTTTAGCAATATATAAGAAAAAACAAGAGAGGGAAAAGAAGAAGAAATGGGAAGAGGTAAGGTGCAGATGAAGCGGATCGAGAACAAGATAAGCAGGCAAGTAACGTTTTCAAAGAGGAGGAGTGGATTGCTCAAAAAAGCTCATGAGATCTCTGTTCTGTGTGATGCTGAGGTGGCAGTTATTGTCTTCTCCACCGTAGGGAAGCTCTTTGAGTATTCTACTGATTTCAGGTCTGAACGTTACTCAAGCTTATTGAGCTTAGATTTTATCTGGGTATATACATCTCTTTTCTTTTTCTTGTTTGTTGTTAGTATTTTTTGCTTGTGCTACGCCAGTCATCTTAAACATAAAATAAACTTAAACTTAATTAAACAACTTATACACTTAAGCTCCATCTATCCCTCTACTTTTTTCTGGATCGGCCCTTTTTATCGATTTTTTGGTCCCATATTTAAGAGGTCGACATATTTACATGACAAAGATATACACAAAATATAAGTACTTCAGTTTTTTTATTGTCAGAAGACGTACATAGCCCTTGTTCATTTCACCATTCGCAGACGTGACAAGGGAGTACTTACTGGTCAAATCATGAGAGTGAATTAGTTAATTAAATTTTAAATGCTAATTTTATATAAATATCTATATGGATGATGTTCTTTCAGAATTCTTTTAAATTTTTATCGTCAGATCGGATGAATTAAAGAAAATTAATAGATAAAAATTAATAAAATTATATAAGAGGTAAAAATGAGTATGCAAATATCTATATCCTATCCATATACTTAAAAAAGGCATAATTAATTTCTGTAATCCAGTGGTTTTATGTATGAAGATTACATAAGACACTGGATACAAGGCAGTAAATAAATACCACCACTTGCGTAATGTCTGAGATAAGGGTTATTGTCTCATATAAAACCAAAATAGGACGCAGTGCCATGGGGGTTGCTCTTCTTACTTGTACTTTTAAAATTAGCAATTAATTTTTAAAATAATTTGTTCACAGGTGTTGGACCCGTGTGAGGGTTATTGAGCAATGAGTCATGATGGGCTTGGTGTTTTCCTAGGTTTTGTTACCTAGGATATATGTTTGAGCATCTTGTAAATGTAGCATACCCAATATGATTCTGGTTGCGCACCTAGGGCTTAGGAGAAAGCACTCCTCCAATCATCCAGTAAGTTCTGGAACAGTTGCATAAGAAAAAGAGGAAAACGTATGTTGGTTCGTTACTAAATATGATTTTTCAAAAATTAGTGGATTGTCCTAGTGATTAGAGTTTTTGTGTTCAGTTTATCGTGTTTCGAAGTAAAACTTTCTTTTTTTTTTAGTACAGATTAGTGTAAAATATTGATAATTTTTAATTAAAAAAATTACGATTCTCAAAAGGATTTTTCATTTTGGTGTGATTAACCATTTAGACAAGACAACAAGAATTAGGGACATCTGTAGCTAACAGGAATCCAAGTATTACTTTATATTGATGGTTAGCTAGGTCAATTTCCTAAACTTGTGTCTGTTTACCCAATGGTGGATGAGAACTTACAAAATTTTGGAAAACATTTTAAACTAGTATGAAATTACCTAAGAGATTTCATAAATGAATATTTGCTCACATCTATCATTAAGTTCTCTTTCTTTCACCACTTAGTACTATGAGCTAGTGGTATTTCTTTTTACTTGTAAGTAAGAGGTTTTAGGTTTGAATCTCGTAAATGGCAAGTTTGATACCAATTTATTTCTCCACCCCTTACTATAAATATTTCGTTCAACAGTTCTCTCTTTTCAATTTAGATTGAGATAGAAAGTTTTATAAAATGCATGATACCATTGGACATAATAGAATGTAAGTGTGGATATTAGGAAACTTATATCTATGAGATTATGTGAATCTAAGGGCATGTTCTGTAACATATTCCTTCTATTGGTTTTAGATTTCTCTTATTGTTTAAGATGGAGAGGAGGTATACAAAAGAAAAGAGTGATAAAGAATGGTAGGAGGAAGGGGGTAGAAATGTTTGAAGAATACTATATAAAATGAAAACTAATTAAAAACTAAAAACTCACTAATTTTAAGTTTTTTTTTCATTAATTATCCTTCATTAGTAGCACTCCATTCTCCTCAATCCTTCTTCACCCTTTAGCCAAAAAAGTTACTAAATATAGGTTGTAAGGAAATAAGTTATTTGATTTCACGAGTAATGTATATTGTCATCAAGTATAACTTTTGCAATTTTCCCAACAAGTAAAATCATGTATGTTGTGTTTGGACGAGTGATGACCAAGTACTAAGGGATTTAAGCTATATTAGCCAGAAAGTACTACAAAATATAAGATATGTGGATTCTGAAGTCTAAAAGCAGTGCATTTAATGAAATTTGTTGGTACCAAGGGATTTGAAATTACTACTTAAAATGAGTTATTTGAAACCATTGTTTAAGATGAAGGCGTAGACGAGGCGTTTCATGGATAATCCTGCCTAAACAAAGCTTTGAGGCATAAGGTGAAGCCTCATGACCTAATTTTTTAAATATATATATATATATATATATATAATTATAATTATATTATACAAAATATAATACTCTGTAAAACAAAAATCCTTTGTCATTCAGAAGTGCACAAGTCATTAGTAAATTTAACTAAACATACAAACAAACAAAGAAATCATTCATCCAAATATGGTCCACATAGATTGAAATATAAACAAAAAACAAAAAAAATGGTAACAAACTGTCTTTTTCCTCATTAATATCCCACTCATTTTACAACATTAATATAGCCCACATACATCCCACACTCACTGTCGGTACACTCTCCCTCACTCTCACTTTCCCTCATCTCATTTGTTAATGTCCACTCATTTTACAACATTAATATAGTTCACACACACCCCCCACCCATTCTTTCCCTCAGTACTCTCCCTTACTCTGACTTTCCCTCTTGTTTCTCTGTGTCTCTTTCTCGTTAATGTCCACTCATTTACAACATTTAAATGGTCCGTATACATCCCCCACCACTCTTTCCCTCGGTACTCTCCCTTACTCTCACTTTCCCTCTTCGCTGGGTGGTAGCGGTGTTGCTCAGTTGGTAGTATCACGCGAAGAAGAGAAGGGAGAGTTTCAGTGTTTCACAGAGAAGAAAAAGAACGCGAGGTTGCCGAGGACTCGAGTGTCGAACGAAGAAGACTGAGAAGAAGTTTTATTAAAAAAAAAGGCTTATTTTTAGCTACGCCCTCTGGAACTTCATTTTGATCTCACTTTGCCCACTGTAACTCAAAAGTCACCACTTTTCTTCCTGAAACTCAAAATTCGTTTCACTTTGACTTGTAGAATCTCTCATCTATGAAACTTATAGGTCGCCTCCTGAAACACATGTGGGACCCAAGACTCTATATGACAATGCCACATGCAATAAATTTGATTATAAATCTCCATTATGCGTTAACATTCGACAATAAAAGAATATTAAGGTTAAAGAGATTGAAGAGATGAAAAAAAATAAAAAAATAAATTGATTAGCCTAGCGCAACCAAATTAAACTCACATAAGAAATTAACAGATCTAAGGCTATGTGGAGTGAATTTGAGTTTTATAGAGACAACTTTCAAGTTTTAGGAGCCAAAATGGTGTTAAAATCGAGTTTTAGGGGGCAAAGTGGAGCGACCTATGAGTTTCAGGAAGTAAAGTTGTGACTTATAAGTTACAAAGAGCAAAGTGAGATCAAAATGAAGTTTTAAAAGGCATAGCTAAATATCAGCCTAAAAAAAATTGCCCAAGACACCCTATGGCACACCTCAACCACGTCTAGGCAAGTTTTCGGCAACTCCCACTCGGGTGTGTTTGTAACTAATTAGACTAAACTCATTCGTACATGGAAATCACTCATCGAAACACAACATAAATGATTTCACTTGCATGGAACAATGTAATAAGCTAAACGTGTTTACAAGAAAGCATTACTCATAAAATTGAGGTTAATGGCCAGTTCATAAATGCTTATCCTTACCTTTTTGCGTTGGTAATTGATGAGTTAACATGACATATTCAAGATGATATTCCTTAGTGTATGCTTTTCGCAGACGATATAGTGTTGATAGATGAAACTCAGAAAGGGATAAATGTGAAGCTTAACCTTTGGAGAGAAGTGTTGTTTTTAAAGGTCTTCGCCTAAGCCGATCAAAGATAGAATATATGGAGTGCAAGTTCAGTGCAAATGGAGGCCAAAATGAGTTAGGGGTGAGGATCGGAGATCAGGAAATACCAAAGAGCGACTGCTTTCGCTATCTAGGATCTATCTTGCAAAAGAACGGAGAATTAGATGGAGGTCTCAACCATAGAATACAAGCTGGATGGATGAAGTGGAAGAGTGCATCTGGCGTGTTGTGTGACGCCGTGTGCCACTGAAGCTCAAGGGAAAATTTTATAGGACGGCAAGAAGGCTGGCGATGCTGTATGGCACATAATGTTGGGCGGTGAAGCATTAACACGTACACAAAATGGGTGTAGCGGAGATGAGGATGCTTCGTTGTATGTGTGGGCACACGAGAAAGTATAAGATTAGGAATGAGGATATCCGAGGTAAAGTAGGAGTAGCCGAAATTGTAGGAAAGCTGAGAGAAAATTGGTTATAGTGGTTTGGACATGTGCAAAGAAGGCCTACTGACGCTCCGGTTAGAAGATGCGACTACGGGATAGAGGTTCAGGGCAGAAGGGATAGAGGAAGACCTAGGAAAACTTTGGAAGAGACTCTAAGAAAAGACTTAGAGTACTTGGATCTAACGGAGGACATGACACAGGACCGAGCACAATGGCGTTCTAAGATTCATATAGTCGACCCCACTCAGTGACTTGGATTTTTCAAGTCTCCAACCGAGATGTTTTCCTCACTCGAGAAATTAAGGGAACACTACCTCAATCTACATGCTTCACTCATAAAGCTTCAACATACTAGCTTCAACAAAAGAAAAATTCAAAGAACTTAGTGAAGAAGGCTTTAGTGTATTTAACACAATACGTTGAAATGAAGCAAAACTTATTTATTGATATCTCCGATAAGTTACAAATATGTACATATACATGAGTCAAAATAAACAAACAAGAAGGGGCCTTCACAAAGGTTGCTTAAGAGAAGTCTCAGCAGTCGGTAGAGCCCTAGAAAGAGAAGGCACCGGAGGGTGATCACTCGGAGCCTCAGTACTGGACAGAACCCTAGAAGGAAGAGACATCA